GGGGGGGGGCTCACAGTGACAAGGCCACCATGCACTGTATTTTTACCGTGGCGCTCTTCCACGGGCCTCCGCTCATTAGCATGACAAAAGGCAAAACATTTGAAACGGGGAGTGACTTTAAACTCACACCCCCCCCACCGCCCCCCCCACCCCAGCCTCTCTCTTCTGGACCAAGAAAAACAAGCGGCAGGGGAAAAGAGGAGCTTTCCTCAGACTGTTAATCTGATTGCGCAGCTTATACGGCAGAGGAAACACTCAAGACACAATGAAGAGGGAGGGGGTTGAGAAATAAGATGGGGGGGGGGAGCGCGGGACGGGGAATGCAAGGTCTCGTCTGCGGTGCCGCCAGACTGCATTCGGATTCCGGACTGGTTTTCATACTCCGTCCAAAGAGCAAACTTTTGGGACGGGCATGAATTTGTTTTGCTATTTGCGGCAGGGCTCGGTTCACCGACTCGCTGAATAACAGAAGCTAGGTTGACCCCCCCCCCCCCTGAAAATGAAATGACAAACGGGTCAATGTACGGAATGAAGGCGTTACCTGGGTGGTCTGCGCCCTCCTGCCCCGCATGCTGGCACTCAAGGCGGCCTGGGCTCCGCGGCCTAGGCCTTCAGAGAGGCAATGCGAGCGTCGACACGGCAGCGTGAAGGCGGCGTAGGCGTTGCCGTCGTCCTCGCAGATCGTCTTGTCGTCGTCACCCTCGACCCGCTTGCCGTCGCGCCACTTGGCGTAGCGGCCGTGTGGTTGCCTGCAACCGGGGGTCTTCTGGCTGTACAGCTCATCGAAGGAGTTGGCCCGGTCGGCGGGATCGGCGGGGCTGGACTGCAGCGGGCCTTCGCGGTCCATCGAGTCCCGCTCGGCGCAGGGAGTGATCATCTCCTCCGTGCTGGTCAGGGGGTCTTGACTGAGGTCCGACAGGGAGAACTCCAGGCTGTCGTCTCGCCAGGTGTCGGCCGACTTGGATCGCTTCTTCTTAAAACCGGCCGCCTCCTTGGAGCCGTCGCGGGGGTCCCGCAGGTACGTCACCTCGCCCGCGTCTCCGTCCTCATCCTGCACCTCGTCCGCGGTGGGTCCGGGAAGGGTGATGAGCATCGTGTTGCCGTGCGCCGCGGGACTGGCCGGGTCGCGGTGGAAGGACATGGGCCTCAGGTTCATGGCCACGCGGTCCACCCAAATGGGGCTTCCGAAGTCCGGCAGGACGTTGGTCTCGTTGAAGGGCTCCAACCCATTTTCGGCCAGGGACTGCGGGATGCTGGGGGTGCTGCTGGAGCGCGTGCTGGCCTCCGAGTTCCTGTGCTCTATCTTGCCCGACGAGGCGTGCCGGCAGCGCCGCGACTGCTTGTTGGAGATGCGAAGCGAGCGCGACATATGCTTGCGCGACAAATAGCCACGCTCGGCACCGAAGAAGGCGTGCTCCCCGTGCTGGCTTTCCGCATTTCCCATGATTCAGCGGCTGGAGAACATCAAGAGGGGCTTATGCGCCGGCTTCCTCATCGTGACATATCAAATGACAAGCGCCGCGTTTGCTGACCTGCAGGACGGACGCGACTTGTCTGACATGCTGCTCGTCAACTTCAAACTTCTGCCCCTGGTACGACCCGCAGACCTGTTAAGAGAAGACGCAGCAAAGTGGAAAAGTTTGTCAAGAAGATGAGTAGACGTCGCGCTACATAAGGAGGAAGTGTAGTTGTAGACTGCATGGACACGAAAAAAATGCCGAGTTGTTTTCCTAACGCACTTGCTTGGTCTGACCAGTGCTACTCAAGTAGTTTCTGTTATC